TCTGCATCCCCACTCCAGGGAAGGGACAAGCACATCTTCGTTTCCTGGCAGAACAGGTGATGCGCTTCATCGGGAGAGCTTGGCTAGTCAAGAGTGATTTAGAAAGGAGATGGTGAACCTTCTATGCGCATGTTGCTGGAAGTGGTGCAACAGGCTAGGCAAAGGTTGGGATTCCACACCAACTTGGAGATTAGCGGCCCGGCAGAATCCAAGAGCAATGGAAGGGTCGAGAGGGAGATTCAGACGGTGAGAGGCCGAGCACGGACTATAGTACATGGGCTCAAAGAAGGTTGCCAAATCCAAGTGAAGCCAAGTTCACCAGTTTTCCTTTGGGCAATGAGACATGCAGGTTGGCCCTTGACTCATTACCGTCGACAAGGTGGAGGGCCAACAGCATACGAAGCCAGGACAGGACGCAAGTATTGCGGCAAGGTTGCAATCTTTGGTGGAAGAGTTCTTGCCATAGAGAAGAGAGTGAATGGCAGTGACAAGTTCGAGGCAGGAATATGGCTGGGAAAGACAAACAGATCTGATTTTCACATGGTGGCCACAGCTTCAGGGTTGAAGTGGACAAGAACAATTCGAAGGCTTCCCACGCCGTTCGATGCAGAGGCTGTGACCTATGTGAAGTACTGGCCATGGAATGTGGGATTTGGGCAGATTGGAGCAAAGACATCACCGTTGGTTAGCAAGCTTCCAACTGCACCTCTCCCACCAGCTCTCGCACCAGCTATCCGGGCAGAAGAAAAGAGACAAGCCCGGGAAGAAAGAATGAAGCAGAAAGTTCCAGGGATTGAGGACAAGGCTGCAGAAGGTGAGGAAAGAGAAGGAGGTCAGAGTGAGGCAGGGGTGTCTGAGAGAAGAGGGAATGAAAAGAGGAAAGCCGATGATGAAGACTCACTTGGTGAGTACACTCCATCAAGCCCGCATGAGGAAGAGAGCGTTGCAATCAATGATGACACAATGCTGCAAGATTTGCTTGACAGTTTGAAGCGCCTGAATCAAGTCCAAAGCGAGCAAGCAGCGGCGAAGAAGTTGAGGGGGAAGCACCAAAGAAGATGCCTAAGGCCATGCCCCCAAAACAACCTCGACGAGAACCTGGAGGAAGAGAAGGAGACAGGGCTCGATCGTCAGTGAGGGTGGTGAGAATGGTCGTTGGAGGCGAGTTGCTTGAGGATGGAGATGAAAGCATTGAGCTTCCAGATCAGCCACCTGAATTGAGTCCTGAAGAGTTGGCTGATGTCGAAGATGAAGCCACAGTTGAGGAGGTTCAGAGGTTGATTGGCATGGAAGTGCTGATGAGGCCTGAAGAAGGAGAGAACATGGAAGAAGTGCCATTGTTGACAACAAAGCTTGTTGGAGGTGGCGCGAACAGTATTGAAAGAGGCGTGCTCGCCTAGTGGCATGAGACGTTGCATGGTGCGACCCAAACAGAACAGATGTTTTCGCACCAGCAGGAGGGCATTCTTTGTTGAGGTTGGTGCCAGCGATCTGCTAAGTCAAAGGCTGGAAGATGATCACGATGGATGTGAAAGATGCCTACCTACCTGATGTGCAGTCAGCCAAAGAAGGTGAAGGTGGCACTGGACAAGGCCTTGGCAGACAGGTTGAACCTTCCACAAGAGTGGTTGCTAGGACGAATTCTCCCAGGACAGCGAGAAGGTGCAGCCCAATGGTTCCAGGAGTTGAAGAAGTGCCTCATTGAGGCAGGGCTTGTGCCATGTCCTGAAGCTCCAACGTTGTGGAGAGGAGAACAGTTGATCTTGCTGGTCCATGTGGATGACATGATCATTGGTGGGACCAATGAAGCGGTCGCAAAGATCACGGACCACCTGATGAAAAGGTACAAGTACAAGGCGTCGATCGAAGAGGGTGAGAACTTGAGTTTCCTCAAGAGGACCATCAATGTGGATGCCTCGACGACGAAGATCATGGTGAACGAGAAGTACATCCACAACTTGGTCAAGTTGATGAGCCCTCTGAGACGGTCAAAGACAGTGGAGGTCGATGGAGCAGAGATGAAGGAGAGCGATGAGAGGAGGACAACCTACCGGTCAGCGGTGGGGACTTTGCTCTACATGGCAGGAGATCGGCCAGACATTCAGTTCCAGGTGAAAGAACTGGCGAGCAAGTTGCAGAACCCTACAGAGAAAGCATGGTTGAGCTTGATGCGACTTGTTGGGTATCTTGCAATGACAATGGACACCCATGTTGTCATGAGAAGCCAGGTGAAGAACAACTCGTTCAGGAACAGAGCAAGAGGGTTGACAACAGCACCAATGTTTGAGGAGCAAGAAGATGCATGGTTGCTGGAAGTCACTTGCGATTCAGACTGGTCAGGTAACAAGGCAACAAGGAGCTCAACGTCTGCAGGGTGCATTTTCTTGGCTGGAAACTGGATCCACGCCTATGCAAGGACACAGAAGAACATCACGCTTTCAAGCACGGAGTCAGAGTATGTTGCAGTGGTGTCAGGTGCATCAGAAGGTTTGTTGCTGAAGGCGGTGATTGAGCACCTCACAAGAGAAGGTAGTGTTGGTTGTTGACAGTGACAACAGTTCAAGCCTTGCAATAGCACAGAGAGAAGGTGTTGGAAAGTTGAAACACCTGAGTGGGCGGCTCCTATGGTTGCAGCAGAGGCAAGGAAGAGACCTGGAATTGAGGAAGCTGGACACAACCACAAACCCGTCAGACCTAGGCACGAAGTCGTTGACAGGAAAAAGAGTGAACATGTTGATGTTCTTGATCGGCTTCACGAATGAGGAGAACGACCTTAGCACAGAGGATGAAAGCAGACCAGAGGAGAAGACTCAATGAAGTGAGAAAGATGGTCTATGTAGAAGAAGGGTCACCAGAGAAGTCAACACAGTCGAACCAGTTGGCCAAGAGATTATTGCGGCTCACAATGACAGCACTACTAGCAGACTCAGCCTTGGGCCTGGTTGCGGTGAAAGAACAAGATCAGTGCTTTCCAGAAGATGAGCCACAGCCTCAGTCAGATGGACTACTGGGACAGAGACACTTGAGCAAGTGGTGATGGGATTAACGATTGCCATTGTGATCTTGAGCATCGTTGTCCTGATCTTGCTATATAAAGGCATTGAAGAACACGTCAAGGGAGTTGAGAAGACATGTAAACTCTTGGGACGAATTCGCAATGCGGTTGGCGAAGAAGACAACTACACATCAGATGAAGATCAAGAGAGGATTGACCTGAGTTTGTGGAGTGCTCCCAGGAGGTGGCAAGAAGGAACAGATTGGCAGAATTGGTCAAATTGGCCATCAGGCAATCAAAGAAGACATGAGAATGATGAAACAAAGGATGAGCCTCGCCAGTGGGTCAACTGGGCTGGAGACTCCAGCCTGAGCTTCAGAGATGTGGTTGGCCCACCATGGGGCGAAGAAATCGAAAAGGAGGCAGAAGAACAAGATGTAGAAGTGAGGAGAAGTACCTATATAGATAATGATGGGTACATCCACGAGACCGAAGTGCGTGTGAGAATGGTGAGTATGGAAGAGGACACGTCTTCAAGTGAAGAAGACGAAGACGAAGGAAGTGAAAGCGAGGTGAACACCGACTATGGAAGCCTTGCTGAACACTTGGAGGCAGACAGCGAAGATGAGTATATCAGGCTTGAAGGAGAAGAGTACCAAAGGTACAGAATGGAGATGATCGAGATCGATAGAGGCATCGAGGTGTACCTGATCATGAAGATCAGAGAGTTCACAGACATGATCGAAGAGGACCCTGGAGATGAAGACTTACCTGAAGGCCTTCAAGAACCTGCAGAGGATCATCATGATCCGCGGTCCAGAAGGAAGGAAGATGGTGATAGATCACCTGAGATGCCTGAGACAATACATCTTCCACGTTCGAAGGGGAGACGAATCAATGGACATCCCATTGGGGAGAAAGCGAATACCCAGATGGTTGGGTAGCGGCTCATTATCGACCACCGCTACCACCAGATGAGCGTGAAGGCGATAGATCGCCAGAAGAAAGCAGAAGTGGAGATTATGAAGAAATGTCACCAAGAGCGGCAGAAGAAATGACTGAAAGGCCAGAAGAAGAGATTGATGAACCCGAGCCTGAGAACTGAGTAAGCGCACCTATAAGGTGAACGCCGAAGTGGTTCAAAGGCCAGCTCAAGGAGCATGCCTTTGAAAGGCAGGGTGTAAAGACATGCCCAGACCTGATGACTGCTTATGTATAGGCTCAAGCTTTACAAGTAAAAGGAGCGCTTTTGACGAGGTCGCGCTGTTTTGCGCATAATTAGTTTGGTATATAAATCCACGTAGGTGTGAGTTGATAGACACCAGAGGCTAGTCCGGCACAGTCAATTTTACCATGCGATTGCTGACAACAGTATTCTACAGGGCAGTGTCCCCTTTCTCCTCTAAATTGTATTTTCTCGCAGTACGCTACCTTGGCCGTTGGGTGCCTCACAAAAGGTATGTGGCACCATCCTCCTCTAAATTCCAATTTCGGATGGGTCACAAATCACAAAAGGTATGCTAGATTTTTATTCGGTGGTGACTGACAAAACGCATGCTACCTTGGGCCGGTACCTCCTCGTTCAGTTTTACCGCCAGAGGGCTTACAAAAGGTACAAGTCGCCACGTCGCGATTCTCATCTACAATTGTTGGATTGCTCACAGAAAGTATGCTGCTGCTACATGGCAATGGAATGTTAGTTTCACAAAAGGTATGATACTTTGGAAGGACCACACGACCAAAGACCAAAAGATCAGGAGGGGACCAGCAGACCACACCAGGAGGTATAAAGGACCAAGGGATCAGGGACCAAAGGCAGGCGACTAGGACCAAGGGACCAGCTCATCAGGTCATATTTTTCGTTTAATGAATTGTTGTGAAATTCCTACACACGTTTACATAAACCCCATTGCTCAGGAATTCCAATTTACAGGTCAATGTTTTGTTGTTTTGTCACTTCGAAAAACACACCGCAGCCGGCATTCTGAAGTGCGCGCCAAGTTTCCTCGTCTCAGAGAAGCACAACTGCCACCCTGAGGCTCTAAGGTTGCTTCCAGATGTCCAACTTATTTCGTTGGCGCTGACGACGTTGCCTTGTGGAGGCGGGGTGCCCGCAGTATAATACGTGCCTCCAATGGTCAAGCGGCTGAAGTGCCACTCTACATCAAATCGGGTGATGTAGATTGGATCCTCGGAAGATGCCCAAATGTTGCAATCTTCATCGTTCGGATAATCTGCTGGAAAGTTTGGACTTTGGACACAAGCACCTGTAGATGTGCAACTCCCTGTCCGGACTGCAAAAGATTTCTTTGGGTTCCTTGGAGCAGCAAAGCTAACCGCGCTACTCTGACTCTCGCATTGCGATAGCAACAGAAAATTATACAAGCATAGACCCCAAACAGTTTCAAAACGATTCGTTTAGACCAATATTAGTCAAAAATCGATTTCTTGGTACGCCCTACTTTCACCCCAAGAGCAAACTGTTTCATCAATGAATTTTTGTCGGCATTGACATCGCTATTTGTTCGGCCACACTCCTCTCCAGTAAGCCGGGCCACAGAGACCGGCCACAGAGTTCAGGGGCGCGGCCAAGACAAGGACAAGAGGAGGAGGACAAGAAGAGGACAAGGCCCAGCCACAGAGCCCAGCACAGAGGACAAGAGGAGGACAAGAGCCCAGCAAGCCGTGCGTAGCATACGAGCGCGCGCTCGCCCTGCTCTCGTTCTCTCTCGTTCTCTCTCTCTCTCTCTCTTTCTTTCTTTCTTTCTGTCTGTCTGTCTTTCTTTCTTTCTTTCTTTCTTTCTGTCTTTCTTTCTTTCTTTCTTTTTCTTTCTTTCTTTCTTTCTTTTTCTTTCTTTCTTTCTTTCTGTCTTTCTTTCTGTCTGTCTTTCTTTCTGTCTTTCTTTCTTTCTTTTTCTTTCTTTCTTTTTCTTTCTTTCTTTTTCTTTCTTTCTTTCTTTCTTTCTTTCTTTCTTTCTTTCTTTCTTTCTTTCT